TGTCCACAGCTTGGAGTATTTTAGAATCCAGATGTGTTACTAAGTTCACTATCAGAGGAACTGTTCTCTACACGTCTCCAACCTCCACCTCCTTTTATAATAATAATAATAATCCTTGCATTTGATATTGCGCCTTATCACATCTTCGAGACGTCTCAAAGCGCTTCACAGAATATACTGCAAAATGAATTGACTGTATATTTTGTGGGCGAATATATTATACCGCATAAGCTCCCGTGTGAAGGGCACCATATAAATGCGAGTTGTTGTCGTATTCACCTACACATTTGCTTTAAACGGTGAGGTGTCAGGTCACGAACGTTTTCGTGCACGACCGCATGACTCTGACCCGGTTTTGAACCAGGCAGCGTCAAACGGGGGCTTTATTTACCCTCTTCATCAGGTAACAGAGGGGCTGCCGAGCGCTGGCCACTGGGATTCTGACAGTTACAGCATCAGCCTTGGAGCTGCACATGCATTGCCTCCCCGGAGAGTCGGACTAATATGAGCAGACGATCTGCGAGGCACAGATAGAGAGGGCTGCCCAGAGCATTGTGGAAATGTTGCTTGAGGATTCCCAACAGGCCTTTGAAGCCAGAGGAACAATCTCCGACTTTTATGATTCACATCACGCAGGTGTGTTTGACAAAGACTAATGAACATTGACACGGGGAGTAGGAGGAGGGTGGATGGTGGGGGTTATGTAATATTTATACAGCGGTTCTTAGAGACAGCCACTGACTCGAGTGACCCCTTTCGTCTCGGAGTCCAGGATTGATTCCCTCGTGCTGGGTCCTTTAACCTTTTAATGACTGCATGGCAAGATCTCTCAACTCCAGGTGGGTGTAGCGCAGATAAACTCACCGATGTCCGACGGGTGAATTGTGAAACGTTTCATAAAAGATTAGATAGTAATAATAATAATATATAATAGTCCTTGCATTTGATGTAGCGCCTTCGAGACATCTCAAAGCGCTTCACAGAACATAAGAACATAGAACATAAGAAATAGAAGCAGGAGTAGGCCATTCGGCCCTCGAACCTGCCTCGCCATTTAATAAGATCATGGCTGATCTACTAGTCTAATTCCATTTACACGCCCTATTCCGAGATCCCTTAATCCTTTTAGTTTTTAAAAATACTCTGATGTGTAGTGACTGTGTATTTGCGGGTGAAACGCGGCAGCCAATTGCACAAAAGGCAGTGTCCCACACACAGTCGTAGGTTAACGCATTTGGGATTTCTCATTCAGAGAGCAGCACCTCCATCAGTGGAAGCACTCCCCCCAGCACGAGAGAGGAGTGTCCGCCTAAATCATCACCTGTGAGCAAGACTGCTATTTCGGTGCGTACATAATAAGAGGACAGCTCAATGCAATGAACTCACATCCGCTGCAAACAGGATTGAAACGACTGGGCCTTAACCAGCTTATACCGGAGGTAGAGAGAGGAGACCTTCCCTCTTGTCTGGGTGGAATGAATAAAACCAATCCTGAATGGCAGAGGATTTCAGACTAATAGTTGAATACGCTTGTCACCCCCAAACTCTCACCGCAGCTCAGATTTTGTTTAATGCTTACATAAGTGCATTGCAGAGGCCAGAGCGGATGCTGGGTTGGGGGAGGAGGGGCTTTGTTTAATCGAATATGTCACCACATCGGAATAAATGCACTATCAGGCCATCAGTGAAAGGTCAGCGTGCAGAGTAATGTCTGAAACACACTGTCAGTTTGTCAATATTCATCCCAGCCCACACACCGAGCTCCCCGCAGTGTGCAGAAAGCTTGCTAAATATGCATCAGAGGTTGATGGGATGCAGCTTCGACGATCTGATCTTGGAGTTGACAGTGAGTGTACAGCCTGCCCTGCCCTGCTCTGATCTCCTCCGCGGTCCGTATTTTAAAACCTTACGAGGAACCCTTTCAGAGCTCCTTGACGGCTCAGTGCATTTATTCGGAGTTTGCTGAGCCTTACAAACTGTGAAAGGTTCAATTCCCAGTCCATTCCCAGTTAACTTTGACTTCAGCCAAGGCAGATGTGGAGAGTAAAGCCCTTGTAATTGGCCTCTTTGCTCTCAGTCGGGAAAATCAGTCAGGATTCCCTCTCCTCATCGCTTTCTGATGACTCCTGCTGGACATGATGTGTGTTGGGCTAAGACAGGATTGGGCTCTACTGGATATCCCCTATTCCATCCACGCCCACCCCTACTGATGAATAATAATAATAATCCTTGCATTTGATATAGCGCCTTATTACATCTCCGAGATGTGTCAAAGCGCTTCACAGGATATACTGTAAAGTGAATTGACTGTATATTTTGTGGGTGAAATATGGCAGCCAATTGCACACAGTCGTGTCCCACAAACAGTCGTGGATTGAGTGACCAAATTATTATTTTTTTAAAGGATTATTATCCCCAGAAAAGTGATCCGCCAATCGATTAACAACTGTGTTCCTACTTACTGCTAGGTAAAAAGAGGTATGTGTGTGTGGTGTTAGGAAACTTGCCTGAACTTTTGCCAACACTCACTGTCAAAGATCACACCTGAATAAACGCCAATTTGCAGAGATACAAAGGAAACCGTATTCAAGTAGAAGGACAAATTTGGTCATTCACTTCATGACTGTTTGTGGGGCTTTGCTATGTGTAAATTGGCTGTTGTGTTCACCTACAAAATACACAGCCATTACACTTTACAGTAAAATCATGTGAAAGCGCTTTGAGACATCCTCCAGATGTAAAAGTACTATATCAAACATAAGGATTATAATAAAAAGGAATCAGATAGTATCATGGGAAAAGAAAATTGCCGAAACAAAAAAAAATCTATTACCTCGACTCTCACAAAGTGAGACTGAGGAATGAGATGGAATGATTATGGGAAAGGTTAGAGGGGGTCAAGACAGAGAACATAATAAGAATAATAGTCCTTGCATTTGATATAGCGCTTTATCACGTCTCAAAGCACTTCACAGAATATACTGTAAAGTGAATTGACTGTATATCTTGTGGGCAAAACATGATCTTAAATCAGCACGTAGCACAATTGTTTCTGCTCGGGCCAAGAAGTAGCTGAACAATATTAACAAACTAGTTCTGTACCTGATTATCACTTATGCTTGTCTCTCAAAAAGGGAAACTGCTAGGTTTAAGTTTGGGGCCTATTCATCATCTGATCTAGTTGGGTACAGGGGTCACTCTGCTGGACCATGTGGAAGTAAAGATTCGCCTGGGGAGGGTTTTAATTGCAGCCGGTCAAAGCAATCAATCATTCTCTGGGGATAATGGCTCAGCAACTCCGAGAGACTGCCCGCGAGAGGAGAAGGTCGCTGTACAAATGCAAGTTGTCGTTGTTGGTTTAATGGTCGTCATGGAGAGAAACGAGTCTCAGACCAGCCTGAACGCCATTAGAAATGGCCTGTCAATCATTGCCAGATGAGGGTGAGGATTTGGGACCTCAGCTCACTCAATCCATTCAGAAAACCAGGAGCCTGAAGTCTGCAGGTCATCGGCTGCACATGCTGTTGCTGGGCAACCCACAACTCTCCGACCATTTTAATCTAAGAGACGGAAAGGGCCGGGAGGCTGCTCAGAGTAATCTAAATAATAATACTCCGCAGCCCAGCTCGTTTCACCTGATGGAAACAGGAAGAGCGAGTAGGACTCTTAATGGGATGGTTCGGGACAGGCCTGGAGACACCCAGAGATTAACGATCACAGAGCGTGTAGAACAGGCACAAAGGAACTGCTCAACTGGGTGCATCTGAGCGACTGGGCACAGGCACCAGGCAGGAATGAGTCTGAGGAGTAGAGCAGGATGCAAGACGTTTTGGGGCCAGAGCAACACAGAGGAGCCCAAGACAGGAGTACGAAACCATTCCACGGCGCTGCCCCCAACGTTGACAGACTAACCACCAATTAGGTTTCACTATTGTGATAATAATCCTTGCATTTGATATAGCGCCTTATCACGTCTTCGAGACGTCTCAGAGGGCTTAAAAACTAGCGAAAATAATAAAAGCTAGCGAAAATATTAAGCTTGAAACGGTAAAGCATGCTGCTGCTACATGCGGGAGATGGGAATAGAGGGGTGCGAGCTCAAGTGAGGAGTAGAAACGCCAGCGCAAACTAGTTGGACCAGTTGACTTGTTTCCGTGGGGTGATGTTCTATGTGTTAGGCGAGATCACCACCTGCTGTTACTCAGTGGCAATGACACTGTGGTCAGAGAAATGAGAAGCATAAATGGGTCTCAACAGGAGCCGTACATAATGCACCAATTTGCGTTACAGAAATTGCATAAGTTGCATCGCAAAGTGATTTTTGTATCCGATGTGCAGCGACCACCAAAAACCAGCTAATCAGAATGAATCCATTAAGTGCAGCTGGGCAGAATCTGTTCTCGGACTCCCATCTGGAAGCTGGTAACCTCGGGTCAATCAGATAGATAAGTAATAGCATAAAAGCCCTTCTGCTCCAATGTTAAAAGAACTTCCATTATGCCAGAAAGGATCAAGTAATTCCCTTGAAATTTTGAAATGTAGAGTTGGTCAGATCCAATCTTCTCTCGCTCTCTCTCTCTCTCTCTCTCTCTCACACACACTTTCGAGGAGGTTTGAAGCGTTTTGAGACGTCTCGAAGACGTGAAAACGCGTTGTATCAAATGCAAGCATTATTATTATGTTTTAGGAATAATCTGCAACCCTTCCAGTCTGCAAGAACATCCCTTTGTTACATTTTCAGATTTACTTCTCACTGACCTATCTGTGAAGAACCGCAGCACATTTTTAAGCAGTTTTTGAAAACCGCTCTAGAAAGGGCATTTCTTCCCCACATTTTCACTCTCTCTTGAAAGCACCGAGATGCCAGGGTTCCTCTTCACAGACACCAATCAGGAGCTCCCCCACCCCTCACCCCTGGTTTGACAGTAAAAGTAAACACTGAAGTCAGCAGCTATTCAAATGGAAGAGGGCGAAAGAGAGAGAAATGACGAGAATCATAGTCAATGGGAATCCAGTCTTTATTCCATTGAATCATAGAAATTTACAGCACAGAAGAAAGCCATTCGGCCCATCGTGTCCGTCATTCAACATTAACACACAGGTGAGCAGTTAAAGGCTGGAAACCTGGCTGTCCTTTTATTTCTTAACCCGGGACCAATTGTAGCCCATATTATGGCGCCGATCACTCTGAACCATTAAACAAACCCAAACAACAGTCGGATCATCAATGCTCTCACACTACATGTTTGACCTTTTGTTTATTGTGCAGAATTCTGGAATCAGAGGGTCAAGACAATTTCACGTCCACAAACCCATACGGTCCAGTCAGTTCCATTAGACAATCCAGCAACGGTTGCAGGCTGTAGCTCAGAAGGAGATTGAATCCCAGGCTCCTAAAAGTGCTCCAGGCTCCTCAAAGTGAGCTCTGTATTACTGACCAGAAGGCAGATCCTGCAGTGATGCAAATTCACTTTCATTGGATCATGAATTATAAAATGCAGCAAATTACCTCTGGAACCAGAGATGAGAGATCTATAATAACGAGATTGAATGTGACTGTTTGCTCCATTGTTTCTATGCGCGTGACTTGTGAATGGAATCAGCCGTTTCTCAGACCAGCCAACCACAGTCCTGCACAGTAACACACCATCCTGCTCCACCATGTACCTTACATTACCTCAGCGTATCAAATAACCCAGCAATGAGAATGATTGTGAAATGCCAAACAGTAACCTCAAGCCTTTTGAGCTTCTGAGTCATGGACATCTTGTTCTCCACTGAAAACTGCGACAATTCGGTTAACGGTTCAGCTCCATTACACAGCGACCAGATCAGTGTTTCTCAGTTGCCAGTAGACATGGAGAAGTTTGTTCGCGGTCTCAATCCGATTCTCTTCCTCCCCGAGATACAGCCTGTCACGCAACGACTGCACCTCTTTAAGTAGAGTCTAAAAGCAAACCAAAGTAAGTCCTTGTCGAAGGTTACAGGAGCTTATTTGAACCCAGTGCAACTCCCATTTATCTCTGTCCAGGCTCTGATCTCTGAACCCTCTTATCACTGCAGATAGACTCCAGTTTCTAATCATTCTGTTGGTGTGTGTGGTGTGTTTGTGTGAGTGGTGTATGTGTGTGTGTGGTATGTGTGTGTGTGTGTGGTGTGTTTGTGTGAGTGGTGTGTGTGGTGTGTGTGAGTTCATGTGTGCCATCCCCTTACCTCTGCGTGGTGTACCAGTTGTCTGAGAGATTGAACTTGAAGGCCAGGCAGCGAGATACTACAGGGAGCACGTGTCAGTAGCACCTGTAAGGGCAGACACAACAACAACAACTTGCATTTATATTTATAACCACAAACACGCAAACAGACAAATACGCGTTTTACTGCGCGTTCAATACCTGGACTCGTCGTGTAACCGCTTGATGCAAGAAACAAAACACAGTCAGTGACGAACATGTCATCTCAATTTCCACAGCACTGATCGGTCCCTCAGCGGAGAGACCAGCGACCACAACCTGTTGGAAGCAGACAGACCGACACACAATGTTACCACCTAATACCCTGATGTTTTAAATTCTGCCAAAGAGGGAAGGAACCATATTCTAGCCTCGGCTCTTGGCAAATCTTGTCTAATACTCTCCAGGACTAGGTGATCCAGAAGAGAGGCCTCTGGAAGGGAGAGAGAGAGTGTGCAGTTGCATTCCAGACAAAGGGAAATATCCACATACAAGTGGAACTCTCCGTAGTTTGGTTTGGAACTCTCTTAAGCATGGCGATGGGTTTCCGCACAAAATACAAAAGCGATCAATTAAAGGTTGCTACCGTCAGAAGACGAATGTACTGATGGTCGGGTGACTGAGTAACACATACAGGTTCAGTCCACGGCAGAGCACATACTGCACCATCACTGATATCATCGTCACTCGAGTAACACGAGAAGCATTGAAATGTACTCATGGTCTACAGATTATTATTTGGGGAACTGGCTGTAAAATGTGAATGAGCTTGTGTCACGATGACGCTGATCCTTTCTAAAGAGTTGCCATTATTTTCACAGTAAAAGAGTCAGAGAGACTTTTAGCCGGGTTTGTTAAAGGAGTGTAGGCTAACCCTGATTTGCACAGCACCTAATCATAGCCATCAAGACCACAAGAGCTTGACAGTCAACAGACTCCCGACATGAAAGGCGCTATACAAATATAATTTTGCATTCGCATTGTATCAAAACTAGCTGTGGAAATGTAACAAGGGGCTCCTACAACCGCTCACTACTCATCGATCCTAACTGAAAATGCCAGTCACGGCCGTCACTCACAGTCCCGAATGGCCACTTGGCTTGGGGCACTGGGATGTCACGAGCCAGCCTCACTGAGGCTCACTAACAAGGGAAGGCGCGAGAAAAAAGCAGTCACCCAGTCACCTCCTTTGCTTGTAACCGGACACTCGTGCCGTCCGGTGCAGTGCCATTCACGACGGACGATAGTTGTGTCCTCGTGGCTTCCATCTCAGAATTAGCAGAAAGCAGCCACCGGAGGACAGCATGTGCCACAGTGGTTCCTGGGAGGAAAGAGAAAATCTGGATGAGATTCGAAGAACGCAACCTGAAATGCACTTAGAAACTATGCAACAACAGTAAGTTGTATTTGCACAGCGCCTTTTGTGTCAGGAGGACGTCCCAAGGCGCTGGACAGTCAGGGATCCGCACCGAAGCTCGTGGTTGAGATCGGGAGGGGTGGAGGGCGGGGAGGGTAGCGGTAGGAGGGTGACCGAAGGACCGGTCGAAGAGGAATTCTGAAAGATGTTACCAAAACTGTTGGGGGTATTTACTTCTTCTGAATTTCAGGGGGTGGGAGGGGGGAGAGAGGGAAAAGTACTTCTGGTGCAGGGTAGTGGTGTGCGACACCAGGAATCAAAAGCTAAGCTGAAGGTGGTCTTTAAATATCCTAAGGATATTAGGATTTCGGCTCAACGACCTCAAAATAAAAACTTTCTCCACCTGCACAAAACTCCTTCAGGCCAACCTTCACCACATCTGTAGACAGCTTGATGGAAGCCACAAGAGGGCCTGCGGACATGCCGTCACTGCCTGCCACATCCCTGCCCCTCAAGCCGCTCGCCCCCGGCCGAGCAAAAGATTGTAGGAAGGTCTGCAGTGTGTCTGCAGCTCGGTGATGGTGAACGTGGTGGGCAGGAGCCCATTCATCCACAGCCCCTTCGCGAATGCGCAAGCAGTCCAACAAGTCAACAGTGTGCATGTCCAGAGGCAAGCACATGCCCTCCTTTTCTGACACATCAAGGCCACGGGGCAAAGAATTACGGGACGTGGATGGCCCATTTCCCAGAATACACTTCAGGCTGTAGTGGAGGAAGCAGTGAACCGATGCAGGAAGTGCTTCAGTGCCGTCCGTCCCAGATTTCAGAGGAAGCGTGACCTCCATCTTCTTGCTTGGTGGAAGTTTATTGATGGGAAAAGTATAAGTAATGGCTTTGCGGTCACACCCTGGAGTCAGATTGCGAGCTTGGCTAACGATCTTGACGCAGAGCGTCCACCTGTGCTCCAGAGTCCAATCGCTCAGGTTCTCTAAAGTGCAGGAAATAACCAAAGAATCTTGCAGCAGCAAACGGTCCCACCGGACAGTGACTCGGCAGGTGACTGGCCGTTTGCAAGGCGTGGTCACTCCCGTTCCCTGGCTCTCCCGTCTGCCCAGCAGCGCACAGCATATGTTAAAGTCCTGGTTCAGTCCTTTCAAAGCCTTGTCCTTTTGCTTCTCGGTGCTTTTCAACAAAGTGACTCTTGAGGTAAAGAAAGAAAAGAGAATGAGTAAAACTGAGCCTTCGGGGTGTTCTGGTTGTCCTCTCTGTCCAATAATTAGCTGGTCTTTTAACTACTAAAGTTCCCAGTAGTTTTTTTTTTGGTCAGCCGGGTGTCTTGAGACATGCAGAAACCCAACACCGTGCTTAAGAGAATCCAAACCAAACTCCAGAGACAGATTGTTGGAGTGGAATACGCACTCTCTCCCTGGATGGACGCATCTTGCTTACCTAATTCCGGAAAGTATTAGGCGCAGGTTGGCCAAGGCTTGGGGACCCCAGCAGTTGGGGTACTGCTGGAGTCGAACCAACTAAAACCGCACAGCCTGTCATTGTTCCCAATAGAAAACATTTAACATTTAGACGAAGGATGTCCTGCCTACCTGTCAGACACACCAGCGATGCCCGAGAGGAGATCTTTTATCCGCTGCCCTGCTTCTGCTGCAGTGAATTTTGTGCTTTGGGCTTCCCCGGGACTGTGGGGCAAAGTGATCACCATCACCTTTCCTTTCTCTGTAAACGCTACCAAGTCTACATCACCTGTCAGGAAAAAATAATGGTAAATAATCATCATCTTTGCATTTGGTACAGCGCCACTTCCTCCCAGGAAGCGACTGGTTACATTCGCTATAGCGGTCACAAGGTAAGGAAGTCACATGCTATATTTTCTCTCCTCGATTCCCTCGCCTAAACCTGGCACCTTCCTTACTACTATAGCTCAGTCATACCCTGGCCTTGTGGAGAGACCCACTTTGGTTACAATCAATTGTGAATGACACACTATTATGTAATAGACGCATTTTAGACGCATTCAACTAGTGGAGCTAAATCATTCCATTAATTGTGGGAAAGTCCAAACTGGTTTATTTCCGGTGATGTCTAAACATGAGCAAACATCTGCTCAGACGTTGTGAGCAAATTCTCTTTTTGTTACCCATGGTTTAACCAGGAGACCAATTCTGGTCAGTTTAGTTGGAGAATGAGCAGCTGGTGATAGCCTCTCGCCTATCCAGTTTCCCTGAAAATAAAGGACTGGGGAACTCTAAAATCATGGGGAGAAGGTAGGGCAGCAGGACTGAATAGATAGCACTTTCAGAGAACCAGTACAGGCATGAAAGGTCAAATGGCCTCATTCAGCGCTGAAACATTCTGTCACCATGAATTGCTCAAACCACGATCTGGGCTAAAGTCCCGATACCTTCAGACGTTAGAAGAGGTGCGGAGACAGCTAAAACCCCACAAACGTTCAGGCTGACGGGGGTCAGAACGGAAGGCAGAGCAGCAGCACCGCCCGGGCCACTCTTGTCGCTGGTCACTCTGTCGCCAGGGGAAGGAGGGCTCCTGCTGCAAACCAGCTCGATGCTGAAGAGATCAGAGCGCGTGCTGTAGTAAAGCACGTCGGCGCAGCAACAGGCACAGACGATAGGCCCACGGAGATGGTATTCGACAAAGTCAGGAGCCTGCACCGCCTCCAGCTGCGGGTTAGGCTTGATGACCACCACTTTGCCGCCTTTCCCAACCACCACTACGCAGTTGCAACTTGTCTCTCTGGCAGTATCCACTTCCTGCTTTAAGGCGAGGGCCCCGATGTAAACGACTGGTTGTTCGAGGTGGTGCAGTACCCGCATCTGGCCTTTGACCTCAGACCTGCCGTGACTCGCCCGGGTGTGAGCAGAGCCGGCCAGCCTGAGGGAGAAGCAGCAGAGTTGGCCGTCAGGCAAGCCGCAGAGGATCATGGGGGCGTTCACCATGCTGGCGTCCACACCAAACAGCAGGCCGAACAGAGACGAGTCGAGGGAGAAATGAGCATCACTTCCTTCCCCTCGCCAGGGGTTGGTCGCAGTCTCTGGGTACACACAGCAGAACACTGGCACGGAGCTCCGCTCTTCACAGCCGGGCAAGTTACTTTTAAAAATGGGGTGAAAGGCAACGTTTGTTTCCTCAACTCTACCGCTCTTCTGAAGCTCGGAGCCAAGCGCTGGGAGCCTAAGGGTGCTGATCCTCCAGTTCATACCCTCCTTAGCCACCGTCACAAGAACATCGTCAGACAGGATGAAAGACCAAAGCTCGGAGTCCCGAGAGAGGCAGCGATCGGCCCCGACGGTGTGGACGAGGGGAACGTGACATCCACCGACTTTCCGTGACTGTGCGGCATCTTCACTCGGTTTAAGATGGTCCGTCTCTTTATCGGGACTAAAAAAAGTTCAAAATACACTCAAAGAAGGTGATGAATACACAGAATAGCATTAACAACAACAACAGAAACCAGGGCCGCACGTCACTAAAACGTTTAGAGCCTTACAGAATAAGGAAAACTTATGGATCAGTATTTTGTTACCTGAATCTACTGCATTATTCAGCTGAATGGCATTGAAAAACAGGAACAAGGGTACTCTTTGAGACCTTATCCCACCCTCCCCCACATTTCTCCCAACTGAAGTTTGTGTGGTTTGAATCCATTTTTGGTACTGTGGCAGGAGAAACACAGGGAAAGAGTCATGATGTTCAAGTCCCTTTGTACTAAATATAGCACTGCATCTCCAAATTGGTTCAGTTTCCAGGCAAAGTTACAACTGTAGAGATGTGCTAACCAATCTGTTTTGCGCAACCATATCCTATCCATTACTGAAACAAGTGATGAATTGGGTACATTAAACTATCGTAGAAGTGATACTAATATAACTCCCACTTAAACCATTCATTTGTAATATCTGAGCATTGAATCTAATATGAGACCATAGATTTAATCAAACACAAAGTGGTCAGTGAACACAGTTACATCTACTGCTGAAATAGTCAATGGGAGCGGGTGAAAAAGAAGAGGCAAAGGCAGGCAAAACCTATTTACAGTAGAGTGCCATATACATAGCGACTGGCTCCATCACAAGATTAGTCACTTCCATTCTGTTAATTAAGATGTGTGATTAATGGATTGGATATACTGAAACAGACACAAAGGCAAAATAATTACTAAACTAACAGCATCCTTTCCAAGCCCCTTCCCAGCCGATCCAGACTACTTTACACATTGATTAGGCAGCTTTCCAAAGCCGACACAAAGCATCATAAAAAAAGTGGGGTACGCAGTACCAGTGTCACAACTATCAGGCTGAGACTCCTAAACATTTAAAAATTAAAGGAATTCCAAATGACAAAATCTGCAGAAACTCTCTCTCTCTCTCCAAAATAAAAAAAAGGTGTGTTGTAGTTTCAGCATTCAGTTCACACAACTCGGTGCTGCTAATACTGTACGTTATACGCGTTCGCCTGCAAAATGCACAGTCACTACTCTTTACAGAGACATCCTCACAACGTGCAAGGATTAGTAGCTCTACAACAGCACCAAGTGGTAGGAAAGCAGAACTCCACGTGTCTGCTTCAATACTGCTAATCCAATCCATTAATCAGACCATCTTAATTAACGAACTGAAAATGACTAATATTGTGATGGAGACAGTCTCTATGGACATGGGTTCCAGGCAGACCAATTGCTGTGTACAGTTTATTCTGTTTGAACCAGCCCACTAGAAAATCTCGGGGCATCAGAATACACATCCTGCGTGTGTTGTCGAAAGCATTATTAATCCCTGACTGGAATCTGAGCCATACAACCTCATAGCTCGAAAGAATATGTTTTGGCTCAACAGGAGGTCACTTTCATGAGGTTGTATGTAATGCTGATGTGACATTAGAACAAAAATCGATCACAGGTAATGGAGTCGGGCTCTGAGCAGATAACAAATCAAATCGTTTAAATAAAAGCCCCAAGAGTTTCTCTCTCTCACTCCCTCCTCTCTCTCCTCCCGCCATGTAAGTTTAGCAAATCTTCATTCCTCTTGATTAAATAATCAAGAGTTGCTCCCTGTCTCCAGGGTAGCTGGAATGACAGGCACAACAGTGAACCAGTTACATCAGTCACTGTCATTCTGTCGTGGAAACAGTGTCAAGCTGCGGGGGGCTGGGAAACCCTTTGCTGCCAGTCTCCTCTGCCTGTCGACATTCACTGTGATTTCCCATCAGTGTTACTTCAACAGATAATTAAATTTGCTTAAAAAAACACACACAACACAGATATAGGGTGTGGCAAGGTGCTCAGTAGAATGAAAATTAATCACATCAAGGGGGTTCAATCTCATAGAGTGAGCGCAATGTTCCTTTTTTTAATATTGTAATGAAACCCTAAAATTAGAAAGTTTCCAATACATCATTAGTTTTAAATGGGTTGTCCAGCAGGCTGTTAAATATTAAATGTTATTTGCCACAATCATTGAGGATTTAAATGCGTGACGTGACCGATACAAGATTACAGCCAGTTAAGCTGCAGTGAATAGCAGAAAATTATATTGTTGCAAGGTATATACTGAATTCAGTGTTGTTATATAATGACACAGAATGCTGATATGCCAAATTAAAAGCAAATGCAAATTAAAAGCACATTGTACTGGCCTTGCAACACAATGCAGAACACTCTTCCGTATAATGTGTATAAATTTGGTGAAATCATTTTAATTTTATTGCCAGTGGGGTGTCATGGCAGACAATGATGGATGAGAGTCTCCTAAGACTGAGGTTAGATCAGGATATATTTTACTGATGGATACAGGGGGGGATATTGGTACTTCTGTACACATTACACTTATTTTGCTGACGGTTGTAAAATCACATTACTAATTTATTGCCTACAAAGCCAAAATAAGGCACATAGCTTCTTTAAGATGTGTTTGAAGAACATTTATATTTTGTCTCGATCTGGCTTTCGTGATTTGGCAGCATAACAATAGCAGGTGTGCATTAACTAGAAGACCCTTACCTAGTCTGGTGGTTTAAAGATACACAGTATATCCCACTGCCTGCACACAACACGTACAGCCACTCTTGTTTCCAATCCAGCTCCACATGCCACACAGCATTGGGTAGCCTGTAAACTACCTATCAATGGGAAGCAAGTTAAACATTTCTTTAATATCTCACTCAATTGAAATGCTTATTAAAAGATTGGAATTGCATTAAATGCAGAAGCATAAAAAGTTCATGTTTTTTTTTACTTCCTCCTGTTGCCCAATTTTCTCCCCTTCCAAAGGCACTGACTTGAGGCCAGGCTACAGATGCTTCAGCAACAGCAAATCTACTGAAACTCAGCCAAGTGACCTTTATAATAATAATCCTTGCATTTGATATAGTGCCTTATCACGTCTTCCAGACATCTCAAAGTGCTTCACAGGATATACTGTAAAATGAATTGACTGTATATTTTGTTACCTTTCTTCACATTGTGGCATCAACCATGAGTGAGAGGCTACTTAACATCAGCTGAATCCATTTCTGGCAAACAGTTTCCAACAGGAGTCAATGCAGATTGAAATGGAACAGGAACCCTTGGCTCATAGTCTCCTTCACTACAGGGAAACTGAGCAAAACTCCAGCTGGCGAGCGGAGTGAACAGCTTTGAACGTTTCACTATTATAAGTCATACACCAAAATTTATCTGGTGATAACGCAAGGATTCTTACCAGCTAAATTAGCACAGACCAGGAATGGAACCCGGGAACTGGGTTGTGGATGGCTTTGTGCTGCAGCACAAACATTTTGCCCAATAAGCATCAGAGCAATTGGATGTGAAATTCAAATATCCTCAGTGTTTATATTAGTCCGGTGCCCGTGATTTGCGACATCTGAAGATTTAGGCAAACAGTTGCAATGTTGACCGAATCGATGCAAAATCTCCAGCCACGAGCACGTTCTAACTAATGCAATTTCTCTCACACGCTCTCTCGGGTGTGACCGCACTGCTCGAGTGTAAACGATTGCTCTCTGGTGTCATCCCCACCGGCGTGGTAATAATAATAATAATAATAATAACCCTTGCCATTTGATACAGCGCCTTATCACGCAGTCGGGATGGCTCAAAGAATATACCGTGAAGTGAACGGACTGTGTATTTTGCGGGCGATGTGCGCTCGCTGTGTGTGCGATCACTCCCCTGCTGCGACCGCTCTCTGCGTGATCGCTCTCACCGAACATATTTCAAGGGTTTCGGACCTCAGTTTCACGTGCCCCCCCTCCGCCACCTTTCTCTCCTCCCAACAACGTGGAGTCCTGTAGCTCAGTGGTTAGAGCACTCGCTTTGCAAGCGAGAGACCTGAGTTCAATTCCAGGCAGAGGGCGAAACCTTGGGCAAGTTTCCTTACTCCACACAGAGCCTAATAATAATCCCTCCAAAACCAAAACAATAGTAAATTGGTCATTTTCAATCTACGACTGTTTGTGGGACATTGCTGTGCGCAATTGGCTGCCGCGTTCGCCCACAAATATACAGTCAATTCACTTTACAGTGTGTTCTGTGAAGCGCTTTGGGACGTCCTCCCGACGTGAAAAGCGCTATATCAAATGCGAGGATTATTATTAACGTTCTCCCTCGCCGCTGGGGTCCGTCCAGCTCTGTTGCTGACCCTCGCGTTGCGGACTGCGTCACCGGGCTCCTGCGGCTCGGCGGTTTGGCGAAAGCTCGTCCCCCGCGAGGCGAGAGGACCCGGGTTCGATTCCCGGGGGAGCGAAGGCGTGGGGCGGGTTTCCTTACTCCGCGCCCACCCCCCCCACCCACCCACCCACCACCCGCCTCCGCTCGCCCGCCGGCGGTACACAGGAACCCGGCTGTTAGTCGATCGGCGGATCGCTTTTCCGGGGGGTGGGGTGGGTGAATCTTCCCCCTTTCTTCTTCTTTTTAAAAAAAATAACAGCAGCGGCAACAATTTGGCCGCTTCGGCCCACGGCTGTGTCGGGCGCCGTCGGCTGCCGCGTCTCACCCACGGAACCCACGAGTCTCGCGGAGGCGCTGCGGGAACGTCTCGAAGGGCGCGACGAGGCGCTGAGAGCCGCCGAGGCGGCATCGCGAGGGTTAGGATCATTACTGCGGCGGTGGTGGTGGTTGTTGTTGTTGTTGTTGTTGTTATCGCTGTCTGTCACTCACCCGCTGACACTCGCCGTCTCTCGGGTAATAAACGTACACACACCGGGAGCCGTTGCACAGGGTGGCGGTGCGGGTGGCGGTGGTGGGGCCCCGGACCCCCACCCTGACCCGGGCCGAGGCTCCTCCTCGCCCTCCCGCCGCCGCTATCGCCATCGGCGTTTGTATTTGGTTCCAATGACGGACCACTGTGCGCCGCGGTGCCGCCGCCGCCATTTTCCCTCCCACTTTCCCGCCACCGCCGCCTCCTCCAATCACAGGCCGCGGGCGATCACAGCCCCGCCCCCTCCGCCCCGCCCCCCCCCGACTGTCTACGGATCGTCTCGAAGTTCAAACGACGCGAAGTGGAAAAAAAAAACGCGTAAAATGGTCCAATTGGCTCAAAACCCCCATCCCATGAGATCCCCTCCCACCTCCTTACACCAGTGATGGCCAATTTTTTTTGGGGGGGGGGGGGGGGGGGGTTTGGCCAATCAACCAACTCAATTTTTTTGATTGAATATTTCTTGACTTTTGCGGTTGGGACGTCACGTCGTGTCATCCTGGACGTGAAAAGCGCAGTGCGATTACCAATACTAATCCTTGCATTGGATGTAGCGCCTTATCGCGTCTCAAAGCGCTTCGCAGGATATGCTGTTAATTTGCTGGCGTTGCCGTTCAATCCAGACTCACCCGGACGAGTCCCAGTGTTCCGCGGCCACTTCTCAACGGCTCTTGGCCCACACGGCCCCACGCAAGGATTTGCAAAGACCGTACAGCACGGAAAGAGGCTATGCTGCCCCACCAATCCGCGCTCTTGTTTATTCTCCACACGAGTTCTCCACCCACTCCCATACCCTTTTATTCCCTTGTGTATATCTAGCTCCCTCTTAAATGCATCTATACTATCTAATTCAACCACTGTTTTGGGCAGCGAGCTCCGCAATTCTCTCCCCTCTGCGTAAAGGAAGTTCCTCCTAAATTCTCTTTTAAATACCCCAGGTCGCTATCTTATACTTATGTCCCCTGGCTTATAGACACCCAACCAAAGTACAAGCTTCAGTCATGTTTGCCATTTGACTCGGTGCCTGCAAACTCAACACATTTCAAAATGCCTCTGAAGTGTAGGGACTGTGCATTTTAATAAAGCACTAACAATCCTTGTATTTTGTACAGCATCTTTAATGGGATGACTTTCCTACGTGCTTCACAGGATTTACTGTGAAGGGTGGTGACTATCCATTTGTAGGCAAACTTATTCATGCAGTTAAGTGTCTTTGTTGTACCACACTCTCCCCCTGAAATTGACTCTGGTTTATCTTTAAGGTTCTTCACAGGATTTACTGTAAAGTGTCATAGCAATGTATTCTGTGCAAACGAGCAGGACAACCAGTTCGCACAGCAATGTCCCACAAACAGCTTTGAAGTGAATGACCAATTGTATCAAGAGACATTGAGAAATTTAACACCTCAAGATGTTAATCTTGGCACCAGGGACACCTCAAACTCAGCAATGTGTAACTTTTATTTGTTTATCATTTCCAACCTACTTCAAGAGAGCAAAGCCTCCTTCGGTCAAATAGATAAGAGTGTGGAAAAGCTGAAATAAGTGTCATAAACACTAGAGTTCATGATCTTCAAAGCTAATTAGCTTTATTGTTACTACGAGAAAATGTAAATGCTTTGTGCCCTCAAGACTGCAAAAATAACACATGAAATGGACTTTTTTTAATTAAAAAAAGGAACAAAGAATATTCTATACAGGAAAAAGCCATATGAAAAAATAACATATATACACACACACAGTCAAGAAAAGCTAAGCATAAGGAATATATAATGGAACCTTTTAGGATCAGACTCATCCATTTCAGGTTTCCTTGAAATCATTTGCACTACAAGGCTGACATTTCTGCAGCTGACACCATCAAGTGTTGCTTGGTTATTCACCACTGTCCTCTCAGCTCTCAGTAATCCGTCATTCTTTTAAGTGTCTGCTGTTACCACATTTGACCAGAAGGCAGAAAGAATGACCCAGATCTGCCCCAACCCTACCCTGTTTGAGTCAATCAGAAAACATAAGGAAAAGCTTTCACCAGCAGCTGAACCTGCATTGCTCCTGTGACAGAACTGAACTACCATTACTGCATCTTCCTGGGCTGGTTTTCCTCCTGTAGATTGAGATACCATAGCACTGCCCTGTTCTGCTCGAGCACTGACCAGAGCCCTGCTTGGGGACCAGAGGCCGTGAGATCCCACAGCTGATTAATATTGTAAGTCTGGCCTTTTAATGGAATGATAACGATTCCAATGTGCGTGTGGGGGAGTTAAGGAGAGACTGAGCAGATTTTCGTATCAGGGGAGTCAGGGAAATGGAAGGCAAAGAAATGGACTCGGTGGGGGTGAGAGTTGGATGAAAGAGCTCAAATCAGCACTGCGGAGATGAGAGAGTTGGAATTGCAGAGAAGAGCAGGATGACGTGATTACATCTCAAGAAAGACTGAGCTCCTGCTGTGATTAATGAATCAATCAATGTTCCCGTTAACAATATTCAAATATTAGTCATCAACTCCAGCCCTAACAGATCTTATTTCCTTTTATTCATCCTTCTAGGGTTCCACTGTAATAAAAGGAAGAGTGTCTGCAGTCTTTGATCTTAAGCAGATGTGAAAAAAATGTACTGTGTTTCCATTCATTCTACAATACAGGTTCTTTTGAGCACTACAAAAGCAGTTACTGTAGTTGCTAAATGTACTTAGCAATAGTACTAGTTAGAATTCACGGGTTAGTAATCGCAGTTATATTCATAATAATAATTGTTGCATTTGATAATAGTAATTCTTAATAATCCTTGCATTTGATAAAACGCCTTGTCACGTCTTCAAGACATCTCAAAGCGCTTCACAGAATTTTTTTTACTGCAGAGTTTGGGACTCTTGTGTTTTTATACTCAGGAGTGATTGGAGTCCTGACCTGATGAAAGTCAGCTTCTATTTCTTTGTTTAAAATAAACAATACCTTTGAGCTAATCCTAATAGCATTTCAGACTTATTAAGAAACAGAGAAATCAAGAGGAGTAGGCAAAGACACGAGTGCCTTTTAGTGATGTGCTGAAAACATGTTAATCACTAGAGAAACTCAAAACCCTTAAATAAATCCACTTGAAGTCAGTCAGAAAATTGCAATGGAAATAAAATCACCCTGCATAAAAACCATACTTCCAAGCATTGAGTTGAATACATTGAATATTAATTGGTTGTTGTGTCAGTCAGCAAATCTCCCAAATGAAGGGATTATCTCCATTAAATGGAGTCAGCTACACTTGCACATTATAAACAGAGGAAGAAAGTCTGTTAAATCCTATTAGTTAGTTGTATAGAATCTGAAGCCTGAAAATTCTCTTGGTCTTGGCCTTAAGACTTAAATTTTGTGATTTAATATTGGGCAGAATTTTGGAAAACCCTCAAAAACAATCCTTATTTTGCGTTCACCTGCTAAACGCACGGTCACTACACTTTGCAGTGTATTCCGTGAAGCGCTTTGAGACGTCAAAGCACTTATATGAAATGGAAGGATTTTTAAAAAAGAATATATTTTTAGTTCAAAGCCTGTTTTCCATGGTTCCTTTTAAGAACTGCAGAGAAACAGAGAAACCGCTCCCAAATTAAAAAACGAATTTGAGAATTTTCCAAAAACCTCTGCACAATCTTAAATTTGAAGACCATGGTCTGTAAGGTTGAGTGCAGTGGGATATTTGGGGGGGTCTGAGCAGTCCTGCTGTACTATTAAGGTTTAATTTGCATTTGTGATAAGCGGCTTCTTCACTTTACGGATCACAACACGTCTTTTCCGAAGTCCGTCTTCATTGACAGACTGGACTCTCCTGCCTCCGTTCCTGACTGTCTGTCGGGAGGCCTTCATCTCATCCACAAACAGCTCAACTGTTTCAAACTTATTGGTGAGTTCGATCATCCTCTCCTTTAAAGCGTTGAACTCCTTGTAGAGATCGTCAAGCGCTTCAGAAAGTGTGTGGATCCTACGTGGGAGCAAATGGGAAAAATGCAGTTACTGTATAATTGTAGACTTTGATTCCATAAGGTTGTTATTATTATTATTATTACTTATTGATTCAATGAGGTTGGACACTGATAGACTGTTTCCATTTGTCGATGCATCCAAAACAAGGGGACATCAAGATAACAACAACAACTTGCAGTTATATAAAGCCCCCTTCACGCAGAAATAGCATCTCAGAGCGCAGATTTAAAGCAGATTTAAATGGGTATTTAACAGGAACTTTTATTTTGCAGGGCGGGGAGAATATGGAACGCACCATCAGAAGCTGTGGTTGAAGCAGGAAATATCAACATATTCAAGAAACCTTCTGCATTTACGAGGGAGAAGATGATAGAAGGGATATGGGAAAGGGGGATAAGGAGGGATGGAGGCTCATGTGGAATATAAACACCGGCACCGACTAGTTGGTCTGAACAGACTGTTTGCAGGGTTCTGTGTAATTATATGAATTTAGTTCTTGGGGAAAAATAAAAACGTAACCCTTTTGAAACATTTTTTGGCCATTTCCCATTTAATATTTAAAAATGGAAATTCAATATTTTTTCTAAGGAAAAGTATTTAATAGTAACTTTCAGTTAAAAAAAATGCAATATTGAAGGAGGTTCTGTGTACTGTAAATCCTTCCTGTTTCTAGCAATGATTATCTCCTTGGGTTTGGTTTCACTGTTCTCCATCATGGATCAAAGCAGCAGTACATATCTGGTAGCAATTCCTCCACATCTGACACAGCTCAGGCATGTCTGTCCACTGTGTGTGATTAGTGGCGGTCTCAATGGTAACTCAAGGTTATATGTAGTAAACTGGCTCGGTTATATGACCACCACCACAGTTGAGGAGCCAACACAAGAGCACTTGATGGATTGTATTGGCGATGGAGGAACCAGAATATGATATTGGACCTGTTTATTTTAGGGATGGAACAGCTAATCACTATCGGTCTTGTCTTAAAAAACAGCTTCACAAGCGAGACAATAGCATATCTCAAAAACCAAGCACACCAGAGAGTGCAGGTAAGAAGGAAATATTGAAAGAGACTTAAGCTAAGGGCATTAGTTAACTTGTCCCTAAACAATGTGAGGCGTCATTTGACAAGGCAACTAGGA